GGTCTTAACCCTTAAAACTTGTGCTATAAATACATAAGGTTTTCCACCTAGAGGGATGAGTACATGGTGGCTGAAATTTTCATCCAAGTTTTCCTAGAAATTTCGCCCACACGAAATTGCTATTTTCGGGTATTATTTGGGTAACACAGTAGAAGACCGTGGAACGTTCGAGGATCACGATTGTGCGGGTGATGGAGATTCCATTGAGAAGTTATGGAACTGAAGGCTCACGTGGTAGAAGAGATATGTTCATGCTTTAAGAGGTAACCCGTGAAATCTCGTTTATGCTAGTTGTCTAAATTACATGTGATTTTGATACTGGGATTGATTCCGCTGCATATAATAATCCATCAAGTTTGAAACCAACCAATACAATTTCTAAGTAAGTAAATGATGAAACAATTAACAGAAACAAAATACTTTCTTTGCTGATCTATGATAACAACAACAACTTTTTCTTTTGTAAGGATAGCTATGTGAAAGGGAGTACTCTCGCACAGTTCTGAAAAAAATGAGCCGTGTCAGAAATATTTCCTTTGCTCCTTAGACGGCTATTGAGACAAAAAGATAAAATTGTTACACTTTGTGCAAGAAAGATGAAATTTAGCATTACCTTGGATCTTGATCAAAGTATGACTATAACAGTGCAAGCAGAAATTTTAATTTTACCACTTGCTTACTTTTTGTTTCTCGTAAGACTAAATGTAAATGCATAGACATAAATTCAAGGACATACAAGCTGAATACATGGATTTATAAATGTGTGCTGCATTCATGGTGGCGCTTAAAGGAAATATCAAAGTAACTTCCAGTGGATGGTTAAAAGAAATATTATATTTCGAACTATGTATCAAGTTATTAGTATGTGAAGACCATGTCTTTTATAGTTACTTCTGCATTTTAGTCTAATAACATAGCTTGGGCCTCTATCTTTTTCCCAAACCTGCACAACGCGTATGTATCCATAATTTTGGTTTAGTTTAAGTTGACGAATTAGTTGTTTATCAAGAACGTGGTTTACTTTTGAGTTTAAACAGTAGGTTTTGGTGAAGTGTATTTAGGATATTGATAGATTACTGCAAAAAATAGTTCCTCATGCTAATATAAATTCCTTTAAGGGACGTTTGAGCAGAACATATGTTGTGGATACCGTATGCTCTGGATAACAGTTCCTCTGGATAACAATTGCTCCCCATTTTGATTTGCCTATAGTAAAAGAAATGATCTTTTACCTTCTTTGATATCTGATTAGCTACAAAATGCTTAATAGAAATGTTCTGATTGTACGTGAATTGCACAAAATGCACTACAGAGATTACATATAAAGCAGATAGAAAAAATTCTGATACCAAACAATGAGCCAAAAATTAAAGCACAACCAATAACGAAGCAGATAGCAAAATTATATGGCAACAGCACCACATTCATTCGACATAAGTAATAACTGAATTCATGAGTAATAAAGATAATATGAAGTTGCATAGGTCGAGTCATTTCACCAGATCACATATCAACAGCAGCACATTCATTCGACATAAGTAATGACTGAATTCATGAGTAATAAAGATAATATGAAGTTGCATAGGTCGAGTCATTTCACCAGATCACATATCAACAGCAGCACATTCATTCGACATAAGTACAAAATATATAATTGCATAGCTAGAAGCATTTCAGTAAAACCAATCAGAGATTCTTTTCTTTCTTTACGACTCTGCGAACCTTGTTGCTAGAGATTTGAGAATTGAAGTCATCATCTGGTCCTACTACTGATGCCTTATTAGTGGATCTAGTCTTCTTGTCATACGTCTTTAAAGGAGATATTTTTGCATTGCAAGCATCACCATCTTCTAACACCGACGATCCACTTTCTGATACGCTTTTCTCGATGGGAGTATGCAAAACAAACTTCAACTGATTTTCGGCAATAAGATCCTTCGGAAAACCAAAAGAATTTAATAGCAGTTGGAGAACCAACACTGTCGTTAGTTGCATAATTTTGACTAATAATTGTTAACTAAATAAATACTGCTGTAAAAGTTTAAATTTCATGAAATTTACCTCGAAAAGCTTATCTCCACTTGAGCTTTGTCCATCAAAAAACTGTGGATCCTGTTAAAGAAAAATAAAAAAGAACATTCATCCTATGAGTGCAAAAGTATTTATACATAAATTTTGTATGAGGAGGTTTTGTGAGTAAAAAAAGTTTACATTGATATTGTCTTCGAATAAACTATGGTTGTATTCCTTTAGAAGGTCATCGTCATCAGTAAACTTAAGAACTTTGTAGACTTCGACTTGTGACTCAATATTTTCTTGCTTAACAATAACCTTGAACATGAATTTTTTATAAAGAATATCGTCCAGTTCACTTGGATAAGAACAATCATCATCCGCAAGTGAAGTCTACACCAAATTTCATAGGTTAGAAATATTTTTATGGTTAATCAAATTAACTTTAATAGTATACCTCAAGTAATCTTTCCTTAAGTTCTTTTGCGGACTTCCCTATAAGTCGCATAGCTTCGCGATTCCAAAGCAACAATGAGATAAAAGTGGTTCCATCCATAACACGAACTTGAAGCCTATACCTGCAACTCAATTTTGATTAACCTTATACATATTTTTTATAGATAGAAGATTTTAAATATACATAAATAATGCTAACCTATGAGTAACTGAAGATTCTTCTTCATTTCATTTGTTACAAAAGTATTTATTTCCAACTTTTTCAACCTTTCGACTACACTTGTTGCATGCCAAGTATGACCATCCCTGATCAAGTTCCAAATTAAATAATTTTGCCACAATCCAATAACTATATCCCTATTGAGTAAAAAATAAACAATTATTGTAAATGCAAAGCAGAAAACATAAGGTAAATATAATTGAGAAAGTAAATTAACTCACTTGCGTGCACTGAATTAATTCCCTAATAGTTTTAAACAGTATAATTCCTTTGTCTAACTCATCTCTAACAGAGTAACTTTGCTGAGAACTTGTTCGAGTGATTCGCTCAATGTTTGATTGATGTGCTGCAAGTAATCTGCATAAGTCAAAAATTGCAATTTATAAATACTATTGTTATATTTTGTGTACATATAGAAAAGGATTATACACTTGACAAACCTGGATTTAAAGTCAATAGACTGCGGCAACGTAGAATTTATCCATATCTTTGTGTGATACCAACAGCTACGCACTGAGTAATTACCTGTGTATCAAATGAATTATAAATAAAAATTTAAAATTTAAAATTTTGTATACACTAAAATAGAAAAATACATGTAATTTATGGTAAACCTCGAATTTTTTGAGCTTTCATATGCTGGAAAACAACAATCAAAGGCTCATCGGTAGATTCATTCAAGTGATGTTGAATTTGATCCACAAGTTCGCTCCATAATGTTGCCAAAATCATGTTCCTCCTATACATTTCATGGTAAGGTTAATAAACACATATATAGGTAATCTATCTATAAAGTATTGTTTCTATTTTTGAAGTACTTACTGATCATCTTCGAGTACAACATTAATAAAGACACTTTGGTCGTCTCCTTGCTTGTAGGTCTTAACATCTTCATAGGTCACAACCTGACCAACAACATCTATAAATATAAAAGTTAGTCACATAGTTTTACAAATACCATTAGTTCATTAAAAATGAAAAAAAAAGAATTACCGAGTAATTCTGTCTCATCGACATCATGTTGATTTGTTAGTTGGTCAAAAGGACGCAAGTTAAATGTGACGACCCGGCCAGTCGTCTCATGAGTTACCGCTCCATTTCCCCCATTTCAGCTTCTTTACGCTTCGTTATCCGTGTTTTATGTGATCGAGTTTATTAGTTCGAGTTCGGAGAGGATTTGGTAATAAATGAAACACTTAGTCTCTTTTAAGAAGGCTTAAGTTGGAAAGGTCAACCGGATGTTGACTTATGTGTTAGAAGGCTCAGAAGCTAGTTCTGATGGTTCGGTTAGCTTCGGGAGGTGATTTGTGACTTAGGAGCGCGATCGGAATGAGTTTTGGAGTTGTAGAGAAGATTTAGTCTTGAATTGGCGAAATTGATATTTTGGCAAATTCCGGTTGATAGGCGAGATTTTGATATAGGGGTCGGAAAGAAATTACGAGAGTTGTAGTAGCTTCATTGTGTCATTTGGGATGTGTGTGCGAAATTTCAGGTCATTCGGACGAGATTTGATACACCTTTTGATCAAAAGCATAATTTAAGAGTTCTTAGAGTTCTTGGGCCTGAATCCTATGTTAAATTGGTGATTTGATGTTGTTGTGAGCGTTCCAAAGTTTTGAGCAAGTTTGAACGATGTCATGAGATGTTTTTGTACAATTGGTTTGAAGTTCCGGGAGTTCCGGGTAGGTTCCGGGATGTTTTAGTGCAAAAATCATAGCTGTAGCAGGTCTACATGGGTTCCAGGCCCTAGAACTCACTCAGCGGTCCGCAAAAAAATGAGTGCGCCCGCGGTGAGTGTTGTGCGAACCGCACAAAAGCGGGCGCGGCTGCGGTAGGCGTCGCGCGGACCACACAAAAGTTGGCGCGGCTGCGGTGAAGAACCCTCGTGCTAGTCCTAATTCGGAAGCTCATATTTTTTGATCTACAAGGAATTTTGAGGTGATTGAAAATACAAAAGTTGTAGCCCTTCATGTCTAGTTTCCAGAAAGGTAAAGATATTGTAATTTGGACATCTGTAGCAAAAGTTATGGCCAAAACACTAAAGCGTGTCACTGCAGAGGGAGGCCTGTGTGGCCGCACGTTGCCTTTGCGCGGACCGCACTGGCTTGCGCGGACCGCGGTTGTTTTGGTGCGGCCCGCGGTAGCTGAAACCTGAGGGGTACCTATAAATATGAGGTTTTGGGTTTTATTTAATATTTTGACCTAGAGAGCTTGGATTTTTGCGATTTTTCGAAGGTTTTTCAAGAAATTCATTGGGGTAAGTGATTTTAACTCAGATTTGGCTAGAATAAATGAATCTATCACTGAATTCATCATTTAATTCGTGATTTGAGATGGAATTTGGGAAGAAAATTGTGAAACCTTTCAAAAATGTCAAATGATGATTTGAAGGACCAAATGGTATCGAAATTGGATAATTTTGGTATGGTTAGACTCGTGAGGGTATGAGGATTCTGAAAATTTAAATTTTACCCGATTCCAAGACGTGGGCCCAGGGCTCGGGTTTTGCTAATTTCGGGATTTTTGATATTTTTCGAATGTTTTCGCTTGGGCTTTGTTCCCTTAGTATATTGTGACATATTCGTTCTGATTTTGGATAGATTTGACGCGCCTGGAGGCCAATTCGAGGGGCAAAGGGCGTCACGAGCTAGAGAATTAGCCAGTTCGAGGTGAGTAATGGTTGTAAATGATGTCCTGAGGGTTTGAAACCCCGGATTGCACATCATAGTGCTATATTGAGGCGCCATCATGACCGGGTTCGGGGATTGGGTCATGACAAGTTGGTATCAGAGCCTAGGTTACTTAGGTCTCACGAGTCATAAGCAGGTTTAGTAGAGTCTCGCGGATCGGTACAGAGACGTCTGTATTTATCCTCAAGAGGCTGCAGAACCTTTAGGAAAAAAAATTCATATTCTTGAAACTCTTATCGTGCGAACTTGTTAGTCCGAGTACTAAACTTCTGATATTCCATTCTCTCACTGATGGTGAGGACGTGAGCTACCGGACGAGGTGGACGACCACCAGTGCCACCCACTGAGGCCACCAGAGGCCGTAGACGCAGTTGTGGACGTGGCAGAGGAAGAGCAGCAAGGGCAGCACCTGTTGATGCACCGGCTGCCCCGGCTCCAGATCAGGCTCCAGATATGGATTCTCCAGCAGCACCAGTTCAGGCACCAGTTGTGCCTATCATGGTTCCGGATCTTTAGGAGGCCTTGGCACAGATCTTATCAGTTCGCACTGGCCTGGCTCAGGTAGTTTCAACCAGTACAGCAGCAACTACTTCACAGGCCGGGGGAGGCAATCAGACCCCCGCTGCTCGCACACCTGAGCAAGTAGTGCAGGGACTACAGACACCGGGGGCACCTCCTGCTCAGCCGATTGCACCATCTCAGGAGTTTATTGTGCCAGTTATGCCGGATGATGAGCAGCGTCGTCTGAGAGGTTTGGTAGACTTTAGCCTCCGTCATTCAGTGGTACCGAGGGCGAGGATGCCCAGATTTTCTTGATAAGTGTCAGCGGATGCTCCGTACAGCAGGGATTCTTGAGACTAGTAGTGTGGAAATTAACACCTTTCAGTTTACTGGGGATGCCTTCACATGGTGGGAGGCGTATGAGAGGCGTAGGCCGGTTGGAGCAGTGCCCCTTACTTGGCAGTAGTTCTACACTTTCTTCTTGGAGAAGTATGTGCCGCAGTCCCGCAGAGAGGAACTGCGTAGACAGTTTGAGTGGTTGCGACAGGGGGATATGAATGTGTCACAGTATGAGTCGAGGTTTTCTGAGTTGGCTCGTCATGCCATTTGGATGGTTCTGACAGATCGTGAGAGGATCAGGAGATTTGTTGATGGCCTTAACTATCACCTCCGTATTCTTATGACCCGAGAGAGGGTGTTGGGTGCTACATTCGAGGAGGTGGTCGATATCACTCGCGAGATTGAGATGGTTCGCCGTTAGGATCGAGAGGAGAGGAAGGCCAAGAAGCCTCAAGGATCTGGCAGTTATAGTGGTGCTTCTTCGAGGGGCTAGTTTCAGCATGGTAGAGGTCGTTGTTTCAGGCATGCTCGGTCAGCCCGCCCAGAGTATCGCGGGGCATCTTCGGGTCATGGTCATCATGGATCTCAGCGGGGCCAGTCATCACTCAGTGCCCTTCTAGCCCAGAGTTCATCTCGTGTCCCGTCAACTTAGGGTTCTTCTATGCCGAGTGCATCAGCTGGTCACTCCGGTGTGAGAGGTTCCCTTCAGTCCCCTTCTCTAGCACCTGGGAGTTGTTATGAGTGTGGAGTGTTTGGACATGTGTGGAGGCAGTGTCCTCGTCGTATGGATATTTCATCTCAGCATAGGGGTCAGCCCTCGACTACTACTCCAGTTACCTCACCACCCGCCCAACCAGCTAGGGGTGGAGGTCATGCAGCTAGGGGTCTCCCCAGAGGGGGAGGTCGATCAGGGGGCAGTCAGGCCCGTTTCTATACACTTCCTGGTAGGCCAGATGCTATTGCTTCAGATGTTGTCATTACAAGTATTGTTTCAGTCTGCCACAGAGATGCCTCTGTATTATTTGATTCCGGTTCCACCTTTTCTTATGTGTCATCATACTTTGCTCGTTATTTGGGTATGCCCCGTGAGTTTCTTGTTTTACCTGTTCATGTATCTACCCCAGTGGGCGATACTGTTGTTGTAGACCGTGTGTACCGGTCATGTGTGGTGACTATTAGGGGTCTGGAGACCCGAGTGGATCTATTGCTATTGAGCATGGTGGATTTTGATGTCATTTTGGGCATGGATTGGCTATATCTATGTCGCGCTATTCTAGACTGTCATGCTAAGACAGTCACTTTGGCTATGTCGGGTGTACCGCGGATCGAGTGGCGTGGTCTGAATGATTATATCCCTAGTAGAGTGATCTCTTTCTTGAAGGCCCAGCGTATGGTTGGGAAGGGTTGCCTTTCATATCTAGCATTTGTGAGGGATGTTGGAGCTGAGACTCCTAGTATTGATTTTGTCCTAGTTGTGAGGGATTTTCCCGATGTTTTTCCTGCAGCCCTGTCGGGCATGCCACCGGATAGGGATATTGATTTTGGTATTGGCCTGGTGCCAGGCACTCAGCCCATTTCTATTTCGCCATATCGTATGGCACCAGCAGAGTTGAAGGAATTGAAAGAACAGCTTCAGGAACTCCTAGATAAGGGGTTCATTCGGCCTAGTATGTCCCCTTGAGGTACACCAGTTTTGTTTGTGAAGAAGAAGGATGGCACGATGAGAATGTGCATTGATTATAGGCAATTGAACAAAGTAGCAATCAAGAACAAATATCCTTTGCCTCGCATTGATGATTTATTTGATCAGCTTAAGGGAGCGATGGTGTTCTCCGAGATTGATCTCCATTCGGGTTATCACCAGTTGAAGATCAGGGATTCAGATATTCTTAAGACTGCTTTCAGGACCAGATATGGTCATTATGAGTTTCTTGTTATGTCCTTCGGGCGAACCAATGCCACAACAGCATTCATGCATTTGATGAATAGTGTATTTCGGCCTTATCTGGATTCGTTCGTTATTATATTCATTGATGATATTCTGGTGTACTCGCGTAGTCAGGAGGAGAACGTGTAGCATTTGAGAGTTGTGTTGCAGAGACTGAGGGAGGAGAAACTTTATGCAAAATTCTCCAAGT